ACTTGATGTTCTCAATATCTGCGGTATTCTTGTCGCGTTGTGCTTTCATCCTTTCCAAGTTATCGACTCTTGCCATTTGCTTGTTTAAAAGAAATTCAACGAGAAAAAACTGGCCCAAACATAATAACAGCATCACTGTTGAAATCAAGATGGTAGACTTTGTTGGTGAGCACACACGAGCRATTTTGTCTTCCATTTTGAAGGCGAAAGACTDAAATAGCAGCAAGCTATGACCACAACAATTGAATGYGATATGGAATGCAAAGTGTAAATTGTGCTGACAAGTTTGTTTGATGTCTTACTAAATGTCAGATCTATACAGTATGGACATCCTGTATGGTTGGTTCGGTAATCAGTAGGTTTTATGACGGTCGAACAGATGGTGTAGCTGGGGGCGTTGATCAATCTAAAGATTGATGATATATAGTCGTATCTTTTTTGGCAGTTTCTTTCTTTTAACAGGTTGTCGTGACTCGTGCTTTCTGTTACCAGATGATGCAGGCAATTTYTTTCCTTCTTTTTGAAAGGTATGGTTTCAGCGAGATACTGTTTTTGAATAAAGAAAAAATCATTTGAAATGAAGTCGAAAGACCAATTTGAAGTTAATTTCTGCAGGGTGTAAATTGAGTTAACTATTGACTCCTAGTGTGCTAATTCTAATTAATCTTAGATGTATTTTGTATTTTTTACCATTGCAGTAATTATCTATGAAGTSACTATATTTCTGTCTTGTTTCAATACATCTTTTCAGCTGCTACTAGACCTCGCCAGTATTGTTAAATATCCTTTTGAATTTGTAGGAATGTGAGCAATGCACACATTGATATGAATTGCCTCATTTGTCAAATTCAARAGAATAACGAAAATAATGCATTCGTTGTTTATCTATACATATGGAAATAAATAGATTARATAWTTTTTGAAGGCCAAAGACTTAAATGGCAGCAAGCTATATGATGGATTGACTGGATTTGATATGAMATGCAATGCAAATTGTGCTGACAATTTTGTTTGATGTATCAATAAACGTCAGATCTATACAGTATGGACATSGTACGTATATGGTTGGTCCGCTAATCAGGTTTATGACGGTAAAACAGMTGGTGTARCTWGGSGCGTTGATCAATCGGGACGATATATATACTACATCGTATATTTTTTTAGCAGTTTCTTTCCTTGAACAGATCTGTTGTAACCCTTTTTTATATACTTTTTATTTCAATAAACAAAACGGTCTGTTGTAACCCGTACTTTCTGTAATCAAATGATACTGGAAATTTTGTTTCTTCTTCTTTGAAAGAAATGGTTTTGGCGAGATATTGTTTTTGAAGTCAAAAGACCAATTTGTTGAAAAGTATGACTAAGTGTAAATTGAGTTAACTGTCGACTCCTACTTGTCTAGTTCTAATTAATCTCAGTTGTATTTCTTTCTTTATTTTTTTTCGTATACGTAATTCTCTATGAAAAATGACATATTTCTGGCTTCCAAAAAAATTTTCACTAGTGAGAATAACACCTTCGTGGCTTCTCTGTATGTTGGAAGTAAATAAAAGTTATTTTGCAACATAATAAGCTTTCATAATGATTATTATTGCATGGTCTTCTTTAAGATCTTTTCAAAACACAAAGACGAATTCCATATTTCCGCGTGTCCACACATGTAATAACCTCTATGTGAATATTTATTAGTAATAAAGTTTAGTAGAATGTGAAAAATTAAAAAATAAGTGTAGCACACATTTTGTGTTGGTACTCCATCGAGATGATAGCTGTACATTTATATAAACTACAAAGCAACTATTTTGGTCATGGCTTCTACTCTGTTTAGTATAAAAATCTATTATGTATGCACCGTTCTAAGATGCAAGCGACTACTATTGCTGACAACAAACTCTCGGTTTGAGTAGATATATAATGTGAGCTCACCAACTGGGAGGGTCAGGAGAAAGGGAGTTTCTCGTCATGGATTGATCGAGAGGCCGAATGAAATCGATTGAAGGCAAATGGACGTCACGTATCAAACTCAAACCGGAGGTTATCCCAAAAAGGAAGTAATCTCATATAAACCGAAAACGATTTTTATTCTAATTGGTTCGATCTAAAGTCAAACACCGTCACACATGTACACAAATCTTTAGTTAAAACAAAATATACAAAAAAGTAATGAGCAACAATGAACTGATTTTTGTTGAACGAAGCTTTTTTTCTTAAGTAGAAATTCCAGAACAAAGTATACGCAAAAATAAAAGGTTTCATGCGAAAGTTTGCCATCATTTCATATTCGAAAGTTTTACTAATTTGTATATATAAAGCTGCGTGTAAGTTTTTCACCAAAAAACATATCTCACTTCTATGGACGGGACATCAACCTAAGGACCCTTTCATCAAAAAGATGCTTGTCAATAATCTCTCATTCTTTCAGATTTTTTTAATCAWTTATGTAATCACCTTCTCACTTTTTACTAAATAACTTCGGATTCACAAAATACATGTCTCCACAAACCCTAAAGTACAAAAAGGATAACAACTGAATATCTACTCGAATGCACCTTTATAGACACAAAGTATATTATACACGAACTAAATATTACAACTTACTGACATAACATAAGCGTAGTAAGTTACAATGCAATTTTCAAATTTTAGAATTTACAATTTATATTATAGCCAAAATMATTTCTACTGAAACCTTAAAATGACAACACAAGGATAGAAGGAATAAAATCGTTTATTTATTTGTCTGTATATCAATGTGTACACACTGATACTTGAAGATATTTGTCTCTTAATCATTATTATCCCGTGTAGTTTGTTTATACATTTGTAGCAAATGTAATTAAGCAATTCAGTTTCCAAGTTTATCTTATTAGCATCTGCAATGTTATTTTGTTTTAATATAGTTCTATAAAGTTCTTTTTAAAGCTCTGCGCAGTTCATGTCATGTTTACATGTGAACGAGAAACACCAACAGTAGTAGCAGTGCACACAAATAAACCCGAATCTGTTTTCTTGACGTTTCTTAGAATCAAGAGCCATCTCTTACTTTATATTTTTCATCATATCTCTCTCCAACTGATGACAGGCTGAGAATCACCTTTAGCGGTACAGTTTAACACTACAATTGTTCCTTTAAGGGCTTTAAACGTTAATGATGGTTTGACATCAAACACAACTAGATCGATAACAATAACAGGTTCCTACAGCAGAACCAAGAAGACTTTCAGCTTTAAGGACCAAAGTTCACTTCGATTTCTGATTTGTCTACTGCACTGCCAAGAATATTGGRAGCTTTACACTGATACGTCCCTGAATCATGAATAGTGGCATTTTTTAATTCCAGTTTCCCGCTACTGTCGACAAGAAATCTYTCTTTTGGTAAYGAACCATTGACTTTACTCCACGCAACAACAGGTTGTGGATATCCACTGGCAGAACATTTCAAGATGGTTGACTGACTTTCATTGATAACCAAACGTGGAGTTGAAATAATTACTGATCGTGGTGGTATTGGGGTCTGACCTGGTGGTCCTCTCGGTCCTGGTATTTTCTTTTCTAACTGCAAGGCCCTCAAGGCTTGAATGATCTTTGGAATGTACGTTTTGAGCTCAGACAATTCAGCCGCCATTTGGTCTTCATCTGGTATGGCAGATCTTTTCTTTCTATTTAGATGAGAAAAAGCATACTTGTTGATTTGYTCTTCAAAATCATTCATTCTTGTGACTTGAGCATTTAACATCGACTTGATGTCCTCAATATCCGCAGTATTCATGTCGTGTTGTGTTGTTATCATTTCAACTTATCAACTCGTACCATTTCCTCGTTTAAGATCAGTGCAGTGCGAAAATACTGGCCAWAGCATAATAACAGCATCACTGTTGAAATATCAAGATGGTAGACTTAGTTGGTGAGCACATGTGAGCRACTTTGTCTTCCATTTTGAAGGCGAAAGACTGAAATRKCAGCAAGCTATGATCCCAMCAACTGAATGTAATATGAAATGCAAAGTGCAAATTGTGCTGACAATTTTGTTTGATGTCTTACTAAACGTCATAGCGTTCGGAATACACAACGTAATGTGATTGGCTACCGGATATATAATTCACAATGTGATTGGCTACGAAGATGTACCGAAGCCAAACTTTCGACATTGTGAAAAAAGAAAAACCAAGAAAGTGTCAGCATTTTACTACACGTACCCCCTGCATAGCAGGATACGTGTAATAAAACTAGACGCTCTTGGAGCGTGAAGTCGGACTAGCTATTTTTGAAAATTGATGGAGACAGAATATTAGTACATGCATGCATGCGTGTATAGGAGAACGAGTAAAAGGTTTTTTTAAACACGATAAGATTATGATGTTATGTTGTCTAATCATATGATAATATTATAAATGTAAATTATTAATATATATTTTTTTACTTCTAATACATAGTGAAAGCAAGAATGCGTTACTTTCAATTTAATTAATGTACAGTTCAAAACCGTTTATTCACACGATACGATATCCTTTTTGACTGCTCTCTGCAAAGACTTCAAAACGATAGAAATCTTAATTTGGCCTAAATGGTCATGTAATTAATACCCTGTGAACGGAGTGTATTTTACCTAATACAACTGAACTGATAAAATCAAACGTGGTAGACTAAATGTCGTTAAGTAATATCATGATATCTAATACGTTTTTAATTCAAATTGTTGACCTCTAAGGTAAAGAAAATAAATACTTTAAAAAATAAAAGATGCCTATAAATTAATCAAAGTCGCCTTTTTGTTATTGATAAACAAAGTTTCTTCTTGTTCTAATTTGAAATCTTTGCCCAAACAAGACTGTCTAACACTAGAATTCAGTTTCGTAAGCATACCATTCGGAGCTCCATGCGATCCGCACATGCGCGTACTTCTGATGCCTATACTGATGCATTCCGATGAGATCACAGATACCACATTTGTACACGAATAGCTTTTTTATCACATAAAAGCGCAAGTAGCATGTAAAATTTACTAACGATGTTCTTAAATCTATAATAGTTTGAGCTTCCGGTCATGTAATAACACAGCCAACCCAATAGTTAATTATTAAATTCTTACTTTCCAGTGGTCCAAACGCCACAGACACACAGACAGATAGATAGATTGATTGGCTAATTAATTATACCTCAGTTAAATGTTCTCCTAAAATTTAGGAAACAAATAGGTGCATAATTCAAACAGACAGACAGACAGAATCTTTATATGGTCCCAATTTCTGGATGTGTCTCTAAGTATGTTCTCCATACATTTTATTTATTTTCCTAGAAGCATTCACAGTGYACTGGATGTCACCGTATTCTAGGCATGATTTATGCAAATTGAATGGGACAAAACTGGAAATGTGAAAGTTTAATGTTTTTCTACAAAATATATGAAAAAAAAAAATCGATTCAAAATAATTGTCATATAAAAACAGTAATAATTCGTTAGCTAAAAAAATAATTGGAAATCATTGCCATTACCAAATCTTTATATGAGCAAGAGATTTGTCCTGATTTGCATATGAAGCTTATGATCCATTGATCCAAATGTTGGAATTTGATAAGCATTGCAGCTTGCAGTTTYAAACATGGACTGCGCAACCGGGGGTCAGTGGACACTCCCCCCGGAATAATTTTCAACTTTTGAATTATCACTATTTATACATAGTCTCAGTGCTCTCCAATAATGTTTTGCTTCTGCTGTCCATGTTAAATGCCCTAAAGGACCCTCGTTCATATTCTAAATACTATGTACACGATCGTAAACACTTTTGTGCATTTGATTTATATGCCGTATCTCACATGCATTTAATTCRTGAATTGTATTCGGCACATGTGAAGTTCGTCGTATAGCGCGGGCCTAATACTCCAGTTTTGAGATCTTATGTCTTTGTGCAGTCTTAACCTCAAAAGCATGTAATAAATTCTTTTATTCAGCAGAGAATCTATTGTAATGCAAACACAGACAACAAAAATTTATGCTTGATTGCAGCTAAGCTTGCACACAAGAGAACTAGAAACTGGAGCATTGTTTCACAGAAGGATGAAAATGACGYGAACGACTAAAACAAGCACAATAACAAGTTTAGATATAGTTATGTTAGTGTACTGTTTATGCATTAAAATGAGCTACTGCGCACTTTCATTTCTGATTTCATAAAACTTTGAGTGTTGTCATGAAAATTGTACCAATTTATTCCTTTCCACGACGCCTTGTTTCCAAGGTACTTTCCATTCAGATTAGAAACATGACAATTTTTATACCACCAGGCACCTGGATATGATGTAGCACAGCTACCACTGTCCTTATCGTTATCTCTATCTTTTGTACTAAACGCCATGTTGTTATG